TTAAAAATTAAAAATTAAGTTAATACTTTACTTATAACAAAATTAAATTACTAATTATGGATGCAATTCACCCATAACATTATTGGGTTGAAGTAGCCATCAATTGACCACAACATAAGAATGCACTCGTCCAAGTTGTGGGCATGATATATATGCTCGACCTGCTAACTTCGAAATTACGAAGATGATATTATTTAAGGTACGGTGCAAGTATCACATGCGCCTTGAAGGCTTTTTCCTCGTGTTTGGATGCTTGGAGATGACAGCAAAGTGATAATAATAATGTCAAAGTTGAAAAAGGAGATGATGAATAAAAGGACGTACCACAATAGTTACGGCAGAATCTAACGTGGTATAAGAGGATAGAAAGTCAATATATTTTTTTTCTTTTTTTGTGTTCTTTGTTAATTAGTTAGTCAAAAAGGTGGTAATTTTATAAATTATTTAAGATTTAAAGATATTTTAGTTAATTAAAATTATGACTTTTTAGTAATTTTATAAAAACTTGTAGAGTTTTTTTATTTGTAAGTGGTGTACATTATTATATAGAAAAATTGAGGTTTAATTAATGAATAAACCTTTGAACTTAAAAAATTGTAACTTTTAAGTACTTAAATTTAAAATTTTGAGTAATTGAAAATTCAGCAATTAAGTTTGATTTTTTTGAATAACATTGTGATAATTAAAATTTAAAATACACGATAATGGTATCTTAATTGGTTATTATTTTTTATTTTAAATAAAAAATTGTTCACTTTAATTTAATTTTAAATTATGCAAGATCTTGATCATTTCTTATATAATGAAAAATCAAATAATAAAATTATTGATAAACATAACTTTAAAAATGCATAATACATGTTAAAAATTGGGCATTTCATAGAGGTAAAAAAGAGATATATGAAGTGAATTTAAGTGGTTATGAATATTGAAGAATTGCTTTTATATTAGTAAAAGTTAATCAATACTAATCTTGTATAAGATATAATTAAAAAATTTTGAAAGGAATAAATGAAATTTGTATATATTATTATCATAATATAAGAATATAATACTTCTTATATTTTCTTTTTTTACAAACTCGATACATTACAAACACCTCTCTATAATGTGGTGAAAAATGTTAGTCAGAAAATTAACTATGGTGGAGCTTATCAGTTTTGCAATATATTGATAATAAAACCCTTTGTATTTTGCTAAGATAATAGATAATAAACTCTAGAGGCAGAATTAATTTCTCAATTAAATCGAGTTTTTTTTTAATTATTTTTAACTAAATTTTAACCCTATACATTAATCATGAAGCAAAACTACATAGAAAATTAAAGCTAAGGATTGAAAAGAAGACATTTTGCTGAGAGAGAATGAGATTTTTTTTTTTTTTGGTTAATTGTATGTTGAAAGATATTTGGGAACTCTTTAATGGCCTTTATTTATGGAAAGACAAAGAGGTTTGGTGGGTGATTCGTGGACACGAAGGA